TTTTTGGTGCTTTTTAAAGCTGTTTTGGGGGGCTTTTAAATCTGCTTTTTGGGGCTTTTAAAGCTGTTTTTTTGTCTTTTAAAACTGTTTTTTGGTGCTTTTTAAAGCTGTTTTTTGGGGCTATTAAAGCTGTTTTTTGGGGTCTTTTAAAACTGTTTTTTGGTGCTTTTTAAAGCTGTTTTGGGGGTCTTTTAAAATTGTTTTTTGGTGCTTTTTAAAGCTGTTTTGGGGGGCTTTTAAAACTGTTTTTTGGTGCTTTTTAAAGCTGTTTTGGGGGGCTTTTAAAGCTGTTTTTTGGTGCTTTTTAAAGCTGTTTTTTGGGGCTTTTAGAGCTGTTGTTTAGGGCTGTTTAAAGCTGTTTTTTGGGGCTTTAAAAGCTGTTTTGGGGGGCTTTTATGTTTTTGTTTCTGCATTTTGATGCCCTTGTCCAAGACGACTTACAATGTTCCAGTTTTCATGAGCTCTCTGGAGGAAAACCCCCCAATCAGAGTTGGTGGAGACAGGAGGAGACAGAGGGAAGCTCAGAAAGAGGAGTAGAGGGTCCACAGGTCTGTCTGAGGAGGAGTCAGGATAGGAGGGGGGGGTCTGTAGGAGTTTATGAAGACAGACAGGGACCTGCTGCTCTTTAGGTCCTTCCTCCATCTTGGAACACCAGCCGAAAACAATCTGATCGTATTAACTAGAGATGTCCCGATCCAGCTTTTTTCACTTCCGATCCGATCCCGATCCCGGCCTATCAGAGCAAGTGTTAAAGTTTAAAGTTATTTATCTACTTACTTAGTTGTCAGACTCATGTTGAACAGGGATTTACTCTGATAACAACTTAATGGTTAGGACACAGACCTGTGGGTAAGAGATGCTAATGCTAACGCTAATGCTAGTGTAGGATCGGAAGCTGTCTGGAAGCTCAGTAGGCATCAGGGACTCGAGTTTGATACGGGTAACCGGGGGGTAACCGGGGGGTAACCAGGGGTAACCGGGGGCAACCGGTCAACGAGGTGAGCCTTTTCCGGGTCTAAACGAGCGTCCCTCTGCTGTTTTCTGCAGGTTGAACGAGCCGAAGCTGTGCGAGGCGGAGTGGCAGCTGCTGGAGGCGGAGCGGGCGGACCGCGGCCTGTTCGTCCAGGAGCTGCTGCTGTCCACGCTGACCCGCCAGCAGAGCTCCTCCTCCTCTTCCTCCTCCTCCTCGGACGAGGACGAGCGCCGGGCCTTTGGCGACTTCGGCGCCATGGGCTGCGTGGACATCACGCCGCTGGACGTGGCGCTGGAGAACCTGCAGCTCACGGAGGGCCGCCACCCCCCCCCGCCGCCTCTTTGATGTCCGGGCGCCCGGCAGACTGTGTCCACCCTGCTGCCGCTGCCAGTGATGGGCAGCAGACAGCACCCCCCCCCCCC